CTTTGAGTAGGTATCCTCTTCCTCTACTTCTAGGCCTGAGTATGTGCCAGTCCTTATATTACGAAGACAAAACTCAATGAAAAGGTGTACTTTGCCTGAGGGCTGCTTCTTTTGTACAGGTGTGTGTCATAGTACAGTAAAAGTGTGCCCTCCCTGGCTGAGCCCCCTCTTACAGCAAACTATTTGAGCTGCTAATGGTCCTGTGGGGCAGGGCTGCTTACACAGCAACACGGAGATTATATATCAAAAGTACATGAATACAGCCCTGCAATCCCCTCTGCAAACAGGCTTAGGAAGCAGTGTATTCACTGGGAGGAAGGTGATGCCGGGATGGCAGAAAGCAAAATCTTTCTTTTCCTTTGCCCTATGAAATCCATTTCTAGTTGAGCACAAAGAAAACAGATGAAAAGAAAAAAAATCCTGCCCACAGCCGCCATTGTGCCATCTACAAAGTGTGTGGGTTTTCGTTTCCATTAATGTGGGCCCGTCCCCTGGCCCTCTGCCAGACTCCTGCTGAGGCCTCTCTCAGAGGAGGGGCAGCAGCCACAAGTCTGACAGGTGCTAGTGTTTTGGCAAGGAAAGGAGGATTCTTTTCCTGGTGTCTTTTAATCTCTCCTGAAGGATGATTTCAATAGTCTTTGGTCTGTAGGGGATCACAAGCTCCCCAAAGCCCTTCAGCAAGAGCAGTTTCAGGCAGAGGAGGTTTCGGTCAGGTTGCCTGCCTTCTCTTTGGTCTCACAAAGCAAGCAGCCCCTCTTGAGGAAGAGGGGTAGGGATTAAAACAGCTTGTTCAGGCTGGGGCAGTGCTGATGAGTTTGCCAGGCAGATTGGAACCTGCAGTGTAACTCCAATGTCAATGTTGATTTGTGAATTTTCTGAGAGCTATTTACTGACTCTCCCAAGTAATTCTTGTGCCCTAGAGACCTCACTGTGCATTCTGCAAATACAGAAACAAGTTAAGCTTTAGTTGCTTATTCTTTTAATTGATCCCATGAAAGGAAGGAGGCTGGGACTCTAGCCTGGACCTCCTGACACTGTGTTGCGCTGCCAGGCTTTCCTGTTCATTTGCAGGAGGGGAAGACCAGAATTGGAGAAAATGGGGGAGTCGGTTCTGATCTAAACTGGTTCTAGTTTTTACGCACTCATTGCTCCTTCAAGGGAAAGGTGCCAGGGCCAGAACACAGACTTGTGTCCCCACGGGGAGTACAAAGACTCTTCCCAAAGGTATTGAGTGTAGCACCCGTGTCTACTGAAAAACAAGAGCATTCTTCACTGCACTGTTGGTATAGATTACCAAATGGGGTTTTTTGGTGTGCAGTGGCACTGTCCAGACTCTGGTAGGCAATTCCTATAATTTCTGTGCCAGCTGGTCACACCCTCCCGTGACCCCTATACAAGGTGGAGTTTGATAAAGAATTAGGAAGGAGGGCTTTCCTAAGAGCCCCAGCTTCCTTTCTGGGCACTTCTCAGGTGCCAGTGTCCTTTCAGAGAAGGGTAAGAATGATCAACCAGCTGTTCTAGTCCTGAACTATACCACATCCTTCATCTTGAATAGTGTTCTTAATGTGAGAAGGAGCATGCTGATCTTGTGCTGACAGAGGGTACCCAAATACTGGCCCAGCCTTTCACTGGCTCACACCCACACAAGCAATGCTAGGGCACAGTTCATCCACACTTACTCCTGTAGACTTAATGGTGCATCAGAGTCAGGCCTGACTTTCCTGAATTGCAAGGCAAGCAATAGCTTTACATTGGCAGGGTGTTTTGATCCCCAACCTCAGTTCACCACAAGAAAGACAGGTGGCACAGAAATATACATCTCCCTGGGTGGTATAGCACATGTTTCAGGCTGTGGCACCCACACCACCACATCTATTGCGCTGATAGGATCTGGGACTGGTGACTATATAGGACAATGAGCAAAGGCCTACTCCCTGACAGTCAGTAGTCAGTGGTTTTGTATAGTGAACAAAAGCTGCCAATACTTAGGGCTGTGAGAAGTGAGACTACTGAGGCTGCCTCCCATTTAGTCTGAGCTCAGCTACAGCTTGGTTGAAAGGCACAGAAAATGGATCATCATTCTTTAGCTGTCTGTGATCCTCAACATTGTTTCCATTTCTCTAATAGGTATAAGAAAAAGTCTTCTCTGTCTTGCAGGACAGAGCTGGGATGCTGCTATGGCTTTAACACTTTTCATGAAGAATGAATAGCCTAACTCTGCTCTGATACTTTCTTTCATTGATTTTCTTTCCCCAGGGGTTTTACCAGATAAAGGAGACTTGTTTCTGGACCCTGCCATGGATCAAGAACTTGAGAAACTGTAAGTGGAATTGCCTAAACTAAGAGGTAAAGCAGCAGATTAAAGGTAGCATGCTGTGGAAGAGTGTAGTAAAGTACTGTCCCTATTCCTCTGCTTTACTGTAAAACAATAGAGGAGCTAAAAGAGCAGCCTGAGCAGGGAGGGTTTCTTTCTTTGGGGTGCTTTGGTGCAGCTGACAAAGTCCTTAGAAAAGCCTTCAGAAAGAGTGTGACTCAAAGAGGGACCTAGAGGAAGCATCAGTCTCTAATGAGGGAAATTTTGGTTGGATGGTGAAAACTAGAAGTGTTGGAGGACACAGGCTCATATCAGAAGATATATTTAAACAGTAAAAGATTCATACAGTAAGTCTGGGACATACCAGTGCAAGGTGTTCCCCCTGTGTCATGTGAACATCTTTCCATCCCTGTGGTAGTTTTAAGTCCTCCTCCCAGGTTCACTCCTAAGGTGCTATGGTAAAGGTTGGAGATGACAAGTCAGGCTGCCTACTATTTGTCTTTTCTCTTTCAGGGTAGCTCAGGTTTCAGGGCTTTCCATGTCCGGTTCTGCCAGCTCCAGCGGGGACACAGCTAATATGCCTGTCCGTAACTCACCAAGGATTAACTCACCCTGGAAACCTCTACACCACCGGCGAAAAATGGATGCTGAGAGCGAAGGCTCCAATGAAGAGACTGACTCCTCTGAAAACTGAAGGTTGTGAGGGTGGGCACCATTCCCATCTTGGGTTTCTCCAGAACCCACTGGAGGAACAGGACCTCTTCCCAGAGCATCTGCTCTGACAGAGCGTTCTGTCTACATCACCAGTGTGCGCGTGTGGCTGTGCTAGTCCCCAGTATCAGGTTCATCCATCTCTTCCCAGGAAGAGCTCTCAGTTTTTCCTAGCTCCAAATCTGTGCAATAGCTCCTCTGCAGAAGCCATTTACAGCTGCAGAGTCATGCTTCCCCCTGCTGGCAGGCAAGACCAGCCAGCAGATGCCAGCTCTGCTCCCACTTGGAAACAGCCGGGTATGCTCTCACCGGCTCTCCCTCCCGGTTCAGCAGGTGCTGAAGCAGTGGGAGCACTAGCACAGACCGCTTGCCAGTGTTTTGGTGTGTAGCTCTGTTAAATCTGGTTAAATCGCCAGCAGCAGCTCTGCACTTGTGTCCCATTGTAATTATTCCCAGTAAAGCTGCAGCTGCATAGGATCAAAAGCAGAGAAATTCCTGAAGTTCCTAGAAAAGGGCACTTTAGATATTGCCATGCCAGCTGTGTCTGCTCTGTGCTTTCTCCTTTGTGTGCCCAAGACTGGCCAAAGCAAATACAGCAAATAAGCTAGACTGCAGTACCTACTGCATGGTGCTCTTGGGCTCTGCTGCTGTGCCAGGTTCCTTTCTGGGAGGTCTCCCACTGCTTCCAACAGCATATTAAGGTCGTTTGGAATGGTAAGTTTCAGAGAGACTGGAGGTGAGGAAGTCTTTAAATTCCTTGGTCACAGGTGGTATGGCTTGTAAGTCTATAGAGCATCTGCTGGGGCTGGGTGGGGAGAAGCACTAAGGGAGAAGGAAGCCGTTCTCAAATGAGATCCAGTTGGGGTTTTTTGTAGATATTGGCATTGTTGTAGCAGCATCCCATAGCCCTTACAATTACAAAAATAAGTAGCGTAGCATTGCATTAACGGTAACTTACTCTGCAGTTTGACTTCGACAGGTGTCTAGTCCTGCTCCTGTGCCACAGCTTGCACAGTTGTTTCCTGGGGAATTTCAGTTTCCCATGCATCTTTGGGAGCCACCTTGCTCCTCCTGGTTGTAAAGTGCTGCTACATGGGCCACCAGAAACTGGTAGCGCAAAGCTTGTACCAGCCCTATGCTATGGATTCAACACATGCTGGAGCTGTTTTAAGACTAATTGCATAACTACTGCTCAGTCTTTACCACAGCCCCACCTGTGGAGGTAGTGGGAGGGGTTATTTATTTATTGTAAGTTATATTATTTATGATCTGTGTGTTCTCTCCCAGCTCAGTGAGTGGCTGTGACAGCCCAGCAATAAAGCACGCTGTGTCAGGCCTCTGCTGCATATGGGTCTTCTGGGCTGCCCTGGCCCCTCCTCTGGGTGCTACCCGGGGCCAGGCCCAGGGGGAACATCACCCTGAGCACAAGGGCAGCACTTGCGGCCATGCAGGTGTCCAGAACTCCCGCCCTCGCCCTGTGGCAACACTGCCACTCCCCAGAGCCCCAGCCCCTTCCCAGATACTGCGATGTAGAACTCTGCCAGGGCACAGGCGAAAAAGCCACAGGAAGACCTGACCCTTATCCCCCTCCTGCCCCATCGCAGGGGCCGGGGGTGGCCAAACATCAGCACAGAGCAGCTGAGTAACATTTCCCCTCCCAGCAGCTACCACAGCCCCTCAATGAAGCCCATGCAAGCCCCTTCCCAGTCCCACAGAGAAGGCTTCAGAACAGCCTCAGCCTCTCTTCTTTTAGTAAGAGTGTGTAACTAGCCCTTTCCCACTTCTTACTACCTAGTCCTCAACACGATAGTCCAAGGAAGAGAAAAACATGCTCTTGTTAAAACCAGAGTCAGAAGCAGAGACGAAGTTGAACAGGACTAAAATAACAGTCCCACTCACTGCTGCATCTCATGGTGATGTCAGAGGCTCAGTACTTTAACCTCCATCCAAACCTGGGCAACAAAATAACCAGGGATCCAGTAAATATCTTTACTTCTTTAACTGGGCCTTTCTTGCTGATGATGTAGTTAGAAGCTAAAAAAATAATCTTTGCTTTTTTTTTTTCTCCTGCATCTATATATGCTGGTTTAGAAGACAGTAAAAAGGATTGTATCATGGCAAAAGTCAGATCCTGCAAATATGGAGGACTCCACAGCACCATGGATGGGGAGCACTGAGCAGAACAAAAAACAGTCATGTCACATGATATTCAGAAAAATAGCATTCCCCTTTCCTCTGTCACTTGGTGAGTTAAGGTATGGGCCAAGAGTGACAAGAGCACTGATGAGGGCAGTCCAGGAGTTCCTGTCATATCTTTTACAACAGTGAGGTTAACCCTGTAAGAAGGCCTGTCTCCACTGGCTAGTAGATAGCAGTGGGTATGAGGGCACATTGAATTTTAATAGAGTGGAATCCAGAGATATTCAGAAAGCATCCTGGGAACAGCCATGTCCTGACTCCCTCCGGTTACCTTCTCCCCTCCCCACCCAACCCAGATAATAAAACAGTCCTGCAGAGTTTACTCCGGACAAAGGTGGCATCAGTGCTTCTTGCTTGCTTCCCTTTGAGTTGCAGTCCCTGGGTCATCAATATGAGCCATAACGATCCTGAGGAGGAAACAAGACACCATGCTACAACACCTTCATGCAAAATCCAGAGACCAATAACAAGAAATTGGGGTGTTTGGTATTTGAATGCTGTGTGTGGTTACCTAGACAGGACACCATGCAAAAGCAGAAGGTAAAAATAACCTTAACTTTTTAAGTTCTGCCTGGAATTTATAGAAAAGGCATATCTGACATAACAAGGTGTCCTGTACAGCAGAGGAGTAAGCCTGGCCAAGTAGAGTTCACTGGCCACCTGGAATTGCTCAGCTATTGTACTGTAGTCATCAGCTATAAAAGACTGGTCTCTCCCTGGGACTTTCCCCATAATTTGAGAAGAGAACAATAATTCCAGTAGAAACCAGATTATTGTGAAAGTCCCTGACCATGACAATAGCCTGTCTGAAGGTGCCATAGTGTAACCTCACCTGGAGGGAGTTCATCACCCCATTGGCTAGGACAGCCATCTTGCCAGCAACCGATTTCACTCCTTGCTTGAACTGTGCAATGTCAGCTGCAGGCAGGACATTTCCAATAGACACGCCACCTGCAAGAACCAGCAGGAGTTAGCCTGGAGTTCCTCGGCTCCAGAAAGCATCCTGACCCCCTTCCTCACCCCGCTGAGTGCTAACAAACCTGAGTGTACATTGTCAGCCTCTCCAAACAGGTCTGCAGAGCTGATGGCACTGCTGCCCGAGAGCTGCTGCAGTCGGGATCTGGCTTCATACTGCAGCAGAAAACAAAATAAAAAGGTTATGAAAGAAGGAAATAAAGTAGGACCTGAGCAAACAGGAGGAAGTAAAGCCAGAGCTGTACTAGCATAAGCACTGCAGAATGCATCTACCTCAGCATCTGCCTCCCGCCCAAAAAACATATCTGAAGAGATAGCTTTAGCCCCTGCAAACTTCTGTCGAGCTTCATTGGATTCCACAATGGATGGCCTGTTCTCAGTCTCCCGCCTACTGGGGGGTCTAAGGAAACAAGAAAAGACACGTCAGCTTAAGCTCACCAACACAGTAAAGAATCACACTTCTGTCTTAGACCCCATCTGACTGAAGAAAATCAAGAAATCCTCAAGTGCTAGCTGCCATCTCTCCCCACCTCAGGACAGCCAGTACTTCATAACCATAGAGGCTGTATCAAACTTAGGGATATGACAGGGAAAGAAGTGCCTAAGGCCCTTTCGCTTAAGGCCCTTTTTCTTGGGCTTGTCTGTGCAAGTTATCTTTTGTAGCACAAGGCTCCTGCTGTAACACAGCAGCATCTCTCCCACAGCTTCCAGATTTATCCCTTTGTCTCACACACAAGGGGCACAAGGTACACTAGCAGTGGTAAGCATTACCTCTCTGAAACTGGCCGAATACTGGAAACGGTCACCTCAGGTTCCTCTTCTTTGTCCATACCCCATGAAGAGTCTGTTTCCCATCGTGAGCCAAATGCATCTTCGAATGAGAAGGGACTGTATTTGTACCTATCAAAAATAGGTTAATTGAGGCCAGACATAAAATTCGGGAATAAGCCAAAGACTACATTGAAGTCAAGTCTTACTTGGGGGGTCCAGATGCGAACCTTCCACCATCTTCAAACAAGTCCAACTGGGAGCGGGAAGCCTTTGCTACCAGCGGCGTCTCCTGCTCAATTACTTGCATCTCAGCCATCACCGAGTGTGAAACAGGACTAGCACAACAAACAGGCAGTCAGGGCTGAGGGGTCTGATGGCATCCAGCCCCTACAACCAGTCTGCCTCAAAAGTGAATCTGGCCTTCACAAGTGGGACAAGTGCAACAAGCCTGGAGGGAGACCTGTAGGATTGCCAGCCCCCTTCACCACTTATCTATGCTCCTTCAGAAGTCTTGAGCTATCTTTTTAAAGGAAGGATCCTGCAGGGGGATGTCTGTCAAGCAGCAGGGCTCTAGAGCTAGACACTGACAGGCCACACATCTGTGGAAATGCTCAAACGAGTACTTGAACCTTTGAGCAGAGAGCCCATTCCTTCTGATGCCAGAAGCATTTTTAGATCTAGACCAGCAAATGAGCTCTTTAAATCATCTCCTTATCTGTTACAAGAGCAAGCTACTGCCTTCAAGAAACTTCTCCAGAGCAGGGTGCTTCCGAGACACCTGTCTGTCCTGTGCCATCCACAGCCAAGTACCTTCTGGACACCAAGCCCATGCCCAGCCTCTCTGCTTGTTCACGCTTCTTCCCTTCAAGATTCTGAAGCTTCTTCTCTTCCTTCTTTCGATCAAGCTGCAGTTCCTGATAAGCCAGACGCATTGAGGCGACTCTGAAGGAAAGAGGTATGGTGGGTACCAGCTCATTACCCTCCCTCACTGCCCATACTGTGCAGAAGCAAATGGTAATCCCCACCACAACAGCCATTTTCACAACAGGTCTGCCAAAGTCCTTGTACAAAAGCTACTGCTTGTTTTCCCATCTCACCTCCCCTGCGATTCAACTCTCCTTCTGTCTAAACATGATTTCCTCACTGTAAACACTGCAGCATCTGTCTTCCCCTCCCCACCACAAGAATGACCCATCCATTCAGCCTTTGCCTTTTTCAGTCCTGTCCAAAGGTGAACAGAAACACAAAATACTTGCATTTCTGCTCCCTAAACTCTCCCAGGGATGATAATTTGAATAAAATGTCAATATAACTTGTGTGCTGCTACAAGGGCCATACTGGTTTATAGCTACTGCTCCTCCTGTCATGCAGTGTGTTCTGTACTCACTTTAGGTGGTCCTAGGATGAACAGCATTAGCCTCGTATTACTTCTGCCTTATGTATGCAAGGTACTCATCCCAAACAGGGCACTTACATGGACTCCTCGGCTTGTTTCCTGGACTCCACTGCCTGCTGCTCCCTCAGCTGCTCTGCCACCTGGGCTTGCCGCTCAATCTCACTGAAGCTCTGGCTGCTTACTTTCTGGGCTCCAAGACCTTTTTTTGCACCCAACTGGAAAAACAGAACAAAAAAATTGTGATTCCTTCACTAGATTGTTCACTGTAGAAGAAAACCTGAATCCTACTTTTTGCTGCACTGATCAGGCCTTCGGTCTCCCTGTGTAGTCACAGCCTACAGATCCAAAAGAGCTTGCAACACAGTATGGAAGAACACCTAAGAGTTAACCCACCAGTGGGCAGCACTAATGGATCAGCCACATACACTTCAGACCGTAACCAGTAATGATCCAAAACCTGAAATTTTTTGTGCATTAATATACAAGCTGTCTAAGCTCTGCCTTCCCCAAACGGACCTCTCAGTATGCAGCTTTGTTAAGGGCAGAAAGCAAGGGCCAGGGAAAGGACAGCAGTAATACGAGACATGTCTCTCCATAAAATAAGAGCTCAGACATACCCCTTTCTTGGCAGCTCCTGGCTTCTTCTTTCCAATGAGGGAGGATTTAAGTTCTGCAAGAGGAGGGAAGCAGCAAATAAGCAGAAGTGAATTAATTTAAAAAGCCAAAATTAGACAGCAACCCACAAGAACATCCACCACAGTCCAGCTGCTATTGCGTCCAGGGCACACCATGCACTTTATATCAAAAGACTGGGTGCCTTCACCCAGCTAAGTAAGATGCACTTAGAAGCTCCACAATTGCAGGCTGTTGGCCTAAAGAAGCATGTTTACTGCTGAAGAAACTTCTAAGTGAATTAAGAACTGTGAATAGCTCCTCTGAGTGTTATGCAGCAGGTGATCCCACCCAGTAGGGATCAAGGGCAGTTAGAGAAAGACTAAATTTATTCCATACATAAATTCAAGAAAATGCAGCTTCAGAGGCATATGAAGGACAGTGCCTCACCAATGCCTTAGGGACAAAGCGGCAAGAACCCTGAAGTCATGTTTACATGAACATTCCAACAACAAAATGGACCTAAAGTGCAGCGAGCTGTAAAAGCAACAAGGTTCCCCAAAACCTTGCACTTATCACTCTGAGGGCATACCACACTTGTCAAACCAGACAAGGTCCAGCCAAGCAGCAAATGCCTGGGGAAAAAGGTAAGAACAAAGCAGAGAGGGACTGCCCAAGACATTCTTCCAAGCTCAAAAATCTTTTATCACCCTTGTTGGGCTTTTCTTCTGCATGTGTCTCCTTACTTTCTACAGCCACATGACTTTTGTTAACCCATAGATCATTCCTGATGGCCTTTCCTGTATCTTTTCTAGTCTTCCATAAATTTTTGAAATAAGAAGATTCAAAACATTCACACTACCCCAGACTGTTGTCCGCTCGCTGTTGCTAACATTTGATTTGAGGTCGAGTTGTTTTTATTTTTACTGTTGGAAAACATTTAACAAAAATGTCAATAAGGTCTCTTTACAGATGTGAAATAGCTGGTTTAGATCCCAATACAACACATATAAGCTTTGGCTCATTCTCTCCCCCCAGGCACAGGAAGTTAAGTCAGAACTGAAGGCAGAATTACAGAAGGGGCAAGCAGAGTTGTCACAAGCAGCCAGTGCAGGCCAGCTGTTAGCCAGTTACCTCTGGCAGGAGCAGCCCCTTGTGTTGATAGATACATGGACATGTCTGAGGAAGAGACATAAAACATGGGGAATGAACAGACACTTGAGGACACAGGCTTTCCACCCAGAATGAACCCACTGTGGGCTAGGAGCATGTTCTCAGTAAGGAAAGAAGCTCCAGTTAGATTCTTTGTGTGCAGCCAGGACAGTAATGGCAGGACAGAATCAGATATAAATCCCTATTACTTTGATATGGAAAATTCATTTGTCTCCGAAGGTTCTGTGGGGAAACAAACCAAAAAACTCAACACCACAGCCACGTGGCCTTGATCACCCAGGTTCTAGATATACACATGCCAAAAGCTCAAAAAATGAAAACATGTTTTTGGGAAGGCAACAGCTTTGAACTCAATCACCTGAAGGAGGAGGAAACCTCCAGCAAACTGTAGCTTGGCTTTGGGGTTCAGGAACATACTTAGTACTGGCTCCACAGGAAGAAGCTGCTTTAGACATTCTGGAAATTGGCTCATTGGTTCCAGCTCCACTGAGCTTACTACTGAACAGCAGGTATAAGAACAAGACTGATCTAAGAGACGGTGAAAAGTCTTACTTACCTAAAGGAGCTTTAGGAGATGTGCTCAACAAGTCAATAGATGGGCCCTGGCTGGGATCTGTGGGCACAAAACCAGAAGAAAACATTCAGCAGATTGATTCTCAACACCTTTTTTCCCCAGTGTGCTCGCAGGTTCACTACATCTCTTCCAGCTTCTCTGCCCCCACAAACAAATCAAGTTACAGCTTGAAACATGCAATTTCCTAAGCACAACAACTTTTTGCCTCCATAGAGCAAATTATTCTCTGCAGTGTTCAGAACAAAGTAAAAGAAAGCAACCACTCTGCAGGGAAATGTACAAAGCTATTTCAAATTACAGCTATGCCCCCAGACTCTTGGTTTCCTTGTCATTCACCCTAGAAACCATTTTCTGCTCTACAATCGTATGTCATTTTCAGAACCACACAATTCAAGGGATACAGAAGAGTGTTTAAACAAATAATTATGCCTGGAATCAGGAAAATGGGGCAACTAATTCACAAAACAGTTTTGTGTGCATTTCAGGAAAAGCAGAGAACTGATCCCAAACAGAGCAGTGTTTAAGTCTCCACTGATATAGTAAACATCACACAGTGCAGAGAGCTTCCACTCCTTCAAACCTGAACCAAAGGAAAAGCTCAGCCCTTTCAACTGCAGCACAGAACTATATTCTCCTGGAAATGAAAGCAGGTCCTTGGAAAAAATAATTCAGCAAGGAACTCACTCGACACTTCACTGCCTTCTGATGACTTTGCTGCTTTTTCCACCTCCAGGGAAGACTCTGCAGGATTCTGGCTGGCATCTGCTACATCCCAGGTACTGGAAGACTGCAAGGAAATGCTCATTCCAATGAGTTGTAGAAGATGAATGAACCAAAAAATCCTGAACTTACTTCAGATTTGGTAACCCATATTCAATTTTAGGCTAAAGGAAACTTGTTCTAAACTCCAGACTGTGTCTTCATTTAACGTAATATATGAACAAGTCAACGTTCCCTTATCAGGGACAAAAGTTAAAGAAAAAAATGAAAGCTAAGCTGAGTGAAAGACCAGGAGTAATGACAGCATTGGCTGTTGGCTACTGCAAGGACTTACCAGATTAACAGAAATAAGCTTAAATCTGGGAGAAAGTGTGAATGAGTTTTCCTGGAAAAAATTAAACCTCTGCTCCCACTGTCTCTATTTGGCATTCTCAGCCAATTCTCACGTTACTCTATTTGCCTGAGAAAGTCCATCTAGCATTGTGCAGACAGTTGCCCAAATCCATTTTACCAGGTCTGTGCACTGAAAAGCTGACTAACCAGAAGTTCAAAGGAATAGCCAGTTCTTGCTTAAACTGTACAAAGAAACTATGCATTAACACAGCACACACTACCAGGGAGTAGCTGGTAGCTCTGAGTATTCTTTGAAGGTAAAGATGGTCTTAAAAACAAAAGACATGGATATTACAGGCCTCATCAGGGACTGTTCAAATCTGTGACTATGTCCTAGACAGATAACTGAATCCTGGTTCTTCCATGTAACTACTGATTAATTATACAATTTAGAGTCCTTCCAAACTAAGTGGGACTGCTCCTGATTAAACAGCTGGCTACTTGAGAGCTACTAAGGCTGCCTGGTCTAGGCAGTTCTTCTCACCTGTGTGTGCTCTGTGAAGAAATCAGCATCACTCTTGTCAGGGGAGTGCCCAGGGGCTCCACTCAGTCCATCTATAAGCAGCTGAGGAGAGGACAGGGAAAAAAGAAGGTATCCTACAAGACTCAGCATCCAGCACTACCCATCTAACAGTGCCAGGGTGCTCAGACTTACATCAGTGCCATACTTGGCCATGGCAGCACTTGCCAGCTGCCGGATCTTCTCCCTGTACATCTGGGCAGCTCGGCTGTTATATTTAGCGTTGGCATCTGTGGTAGTACAGCCGTGCTGGCGGAAGAAAGCAGTCTGAAAAGAGAGGAACAGTCAGTCTCCTGACCGCTAGATATACTCAATCATGCATTAGACAAACTCAACAGAAAAGGAAAGCTTCCCAGAGACAGGGGATGACATACTGAGAACACAGCATGAACCAACCATGCACTGATCAGCTTTCTCCAAGATGTCTCACTCCAGGCCCCAGAGGCTTATGAAAACCATCCATATCCTCCACAGAAGGATGATTCTGATTCACAGTGCTGAGCATGAGCTTTCAAACTGATGAGTGTTATTATTAACTCCTATCATTAAAGAAGGCTGTGCCTCATTTTAAATGAGGTGCAAGAAAATGACAGAACTGCACATCAAAAAACAATGCATGCAAACGTCAGAGTCTGACCTCTAAGCACACCTGACAAATGCCCCTCCCCTTCATTACACATTTCAGAAGAGTTTACTATCCAGAGAAAGAACAGGTGAGGGTGGTACTGAGAAAGCAACATGAAGGAAAGGAATAAGAAAAAGAGTGCGGATTAGTAAGAGGGAAACCCAGCAAAATGCCCACATAGGCTCCTCACCGCATTGGCATTGCTGCCCACTTGCATACACCTCAGCTGGAACCAGTTCCAGTTAGAATCCAACTCCGTGGACCTGTGTGAGAACCAATTATTTCTATTAATGAAGAGCAGGCATACCAAATGCAAAAGCAAGCTTTGACCTAGAACGATCAGACATCCCACTACTATCTCAGAGTATACATGGCAAAGGGGGAAAGAACATCTTAGTAACTTCTTTGCTCCTGTAAAAAAATTAGTTTGAACTTTTAAAGTGAAAAAAACACCTCACTTCAAATTATTCACATCAAATAATATCCAAATTTTGAGGATCTCTCACTTGTACTGCTTGTATAGAGGGCGGATCTTGAGCTAGGAAAGTACAGCCAAGAACTTCTGTTCTGCATGGGATCTCACATGTAGAGACTCATATTAAGCCCGTCCCACAGATTAGGCCAAAACACGTGACAAAGCAACTGAGAAAACATCCAAGTAAAGTCAGGGGACACAGCGTGTCTCATATCAGTTACTCAACTTTTCTCTAAACAAATAAAGGTCACAGTTCTTTTACTTAAAATGCTAACTTTTATAAGTACCGCAAAGAACTAAACTGAAAATCAAACACCATTTTTCCTGCTGGGTTGATACAGAAAAGATTAAATAATATTCCTCTTTTTGCCTTGCTCAGCATTACAGGAAAGACTACCATACTGCTGTTTTACTGGCAAGATTCACACCCCCCACTCCCCTCTCTGCTTCTACACGTCAAAGTCTAGACAGCACTTCTGCAAGGTTAGCGAAAGTAACATGTCGATGATCCACTTGAGGTGCATTGGAAACTCCATCTCGGAAGGGCTGAGTGACCCAGAAGCTCCGGCGAGCGAGCCACGCACAGCCCGAAGCGATCGCTCCTCTCCCAGTCGCTGCCTGTTCCCACAGCAAGGAAGCAGGGCTGCCCCAGGCCTGCCCGCGGCACCGCGGGCCAGAGCCCCGCTCCCCACGCACCTGATGAAGCTGAGATGCACGCCCAGGGACCTGTGGACGCCGGAGCAGTCGATGCACAGGAACACCCCGTAGGTGATGCTGGCCCAGCTCGGGTTCTTGGCGCCGCAGTCGAAGCACGACTAAAGAGAATGTAGAGTGACAGCCGGGCTGCGGCTCTGCCGCTCCGCCACCCGCTGCCGCAGCGCGGCGACCCCAGCTCTCCCCGGGCCCTCCTCGAGAGCCGCTGCCCGGCCGCCCCAAGACGCGCCGCAGCGCGGCCCAGAGCACACCGCGGCCCGGTCCGAGCGCAGAGGGCGGCCGCAGGGCAGCAGCCCGGCACGGAGAGCCCGGCAGCCCCCGGCCGCTCCCCGCTACCTTGTTGGCCGGCGCTGCCCGCAGCCGCTTGAAGAGAGTCTGGATCTCCGTCTTGCTCGGCTCCGCCGCCATGATCTCTCCTTCCCAGACACCCCCGCGGGGACGGGGGCCGGCCGGGCCCAATCGGCGCCGCGGTCGCGGCCGGTCTGTCCTGAGGCGGCTCGCCCCGCCCGCTCCGGGGCCGCTCTCCGGGAGCGCCTCCCACTCGGGACAGGAGCAGCCCGCCCGCAGCACCCCTGCCGGCCTGACCCTGCCCAGGGGTCACAGCATCGCCTTCCGCACACCGGAGGCTAAACATGAGCGGGGACGTTCCCCCCTCCGAGACCCGCGTCAGCTCTGAGTGCTCACGGTGGTTCTGCAGCCCCGTACCCGGCACTTCTGGGGGAGCCCTGCTGGCCGTGCCCGTCCTTTTGAGGCCGCTGTGGGCCCGGAGCGAGACAAGGACCCTTTAGAATAGCAAGGAGACTGTGCCTGCCGCGGGTCAGCTGCTACTGGGGAAAAAGCTCAGCGATTCCAGGCAGCACCTGCTCCGACAGCCCGACCTCAGGATACCGCGCCTGGCACACCGGCACAGGTGAGCTGTGATTTGGAAGTGTTCACAGAATCACAGAATATCCTGAGTTGGAAGGGACCCACAAGGATCATTAAAGTCCAACTCCTGGCCCTGCACAGGGCCATCCTCAAGAGTCCCACCATGTGCCTGAGTGTATTGTCCAAACACTTTCTCAGGCATGCTGTGACCACTTCCCTGAGGAGCCTGTTCCGGTGACCAACCACACTCTGGGCAAAACCCTTTTTTCTAATATCCAACCTAAACCTCCTCTGACACAACTTCAGGCCATTCCCTCCGATACTATCACTGGTCACCACAGAGAAGAGATCAGTGCATCTTCTTCCCCTCATGAGGAAGTTGTAGATTGCAGTGAGGTCTCCTCTCAGTCTGCTCCAGGTCGAATAGACCAAGTGACCTCAGCTGCTCCTCATACACCTTCCTCTAAAGGCCCTTCACACCTTCGTAGCCTGATTTAGTGAGGGTGGAGACCTCTCAGAAAGTACTAGCTAATCCTGTGCAGTAATCAAGGCATCATGAGGCAATAATCAAGGTAGGGAAGTTGTTACTTCAGAGCAAAGATGATGTCAGGGCCTTTAACTGCTGTATTACCCACTTGGAAGCAGGAAGGTATGGAATAGAAAGCCATTCAGGTATAATGCAAGAAAAACAGGAAGAAATATGGTTGTGCTTTGAACTAAAAGTCAATGGCATATAGCCCATTTCATGCTTTAGCAAACAAACAAAAAAAAAGAAAGATGCAGAGCAATGGGAGATTCAGAAGGGCAACCACAACAAAGGCTAATCAGTAGATGGTATTACAGAGATGGAATAGGTTGGGATTTCCTTACCTCTGAGGCTGCTCTGCAACACCAGCTTGTCACTAAAGGAAACAGTTAAATGTACTAACACCTGGACAACTTTCAGTTTAAATTTAAAGACTTTCATTTCACTCATTTCCACATTATCCATAGATATTAAGGCAGACAGTAGAATTCGTTGCATTGGGAACCTAGGGCCCATGATCTTAGGAAGATATGTAAAGGCTCGGGGCGTAGAAATGCAATCAGGAACAAGAGTTGCTGAGGAAAAAAAAAACTGCAGGAAAAAAACCCTGCAGGTTTAGCAGGATCTTGTATTCTGGGAATCAGAAAAGCTCTAGCTACATGGTCAGAGCGAGATCTGATATAGGAGGCACGTACAGTAAGATGAGAGGCTTCTGGCTGACACATCTGATTCAAGCTACTCTGAGATGAGTTTCTGAACTCATGTGACAGGGATCATTCTTGGCAGCAGTCCTGTCTTAAGCAGCCCCAGGTTTCTGCTGCTCTTATGCAGCTCCCTTAATTGTGCCTATATGCCCATTTCTGGGATTACACAAACAGCACTGGCGAACCAATTCAGGTGAAAGTAACCGATAGCAGTTTCCTCACAGCTATTTTTAAAAGACTTGAGTTCCCTGATGCCACTCACAGTGCAGCTGTCCTGGCACTCATACCAGGAGAGCTGATGTCAGGGTGCAGTAAGGGCTAGTTGCACACTAGGAGAAGGAGAGCTGTGAGGGGGATGTTCCTGAGACCAGCAGGCCAGGGCCCTCACCAGCCATGGCCTATTGCCACAGTACCTGACCATGCAGAGCAAGGCAGGCCCAGCACAGCAGCTGTATTTCACCAAAAACTGAGAAAGCTCGGCAAGCTTGTGGTGATGAGGTGGTTTGCAGCCCAGTGATTGCCAAGCATGTCTCTGGTGACAAGGCAAGGCAAGCCCGAGATCAAGCTGGTGAACTAGCCCATAGGTCAGAATCAACAAGGCACAGACAAAGACCACTACTCCTCCACCTTAGCTCAGACAGGGACTAGTTGCTCTGGGCTGAGCTTAAATGCAAACGCATCCAACCCCCCCAACCCCATGGGCTGGGAGTTTGGGTAGGGCCCCAGGTGAGGCTGCTCAGGACAATGAAGACATGTTAGTGCATTCAGGGCCCTGAAAGAAGAGCGGGAGAGGGAGTCTACAGAGCCAGGGTGGAGGCTGTGTAAGCTGCATCTTGTGTAGAGGTGCAAGCTCAGATGATGAGTGTGCATTGGGAGTGTTTGTGTTCACATTGTCTAGAGCTGCCTCAAGATGAGTTGCTTGCTCCTGCCTTGTCATCATCTGTTGTGTGGTGCTGCTCCCCTCTTCTGCTTGCTGCATTCTTGTGAGCTCTGCTTGGCTGGGTGATGGAGGTGTCGTACAAGGGTTAGGAGGGACAGAGTCTGTTCACGCTGGCATTCCCCCAGCTGAGGCTCGTGAGATAGTGTCCTGGTTTTGACTGGGATAGGGTTAGTTTTCTTCCTAGTAGCTGGTGTTTTGCATTTAGTATGATAAAATGTTGATAACACAACTGATGTTTTGGTTGTTGCTGAGTAGTGGTTAGTGTAAGCCAAAGACTTTTCAGTTTCCCAGGCTCTGCCAGTGAGGAGCTAAGAAGCTTGGAGAGAGCATGGCCAGGACAGTTGACCCAAACTGGCCAAAGGGCTATTCCATACTACAGAATATCATGCCCAGTATATAAACTGGGGTGAGTTGGCTGGGAGAGGCTGATCGCTGTTTGAGGATGGGATGGGCAGCAGTCAGCAGGTGGTGAGCAGTTGTATGTGCATCACTTGCGTTTCTTGGGTTTAATTCCTTTATTATTATTTTTATAGTTTACATTTTTATGATTCTCCTCCCCATCTCACGAGGGGTTTGGGTGGTGGTTGGTGGCTCTGTGGTACTTGGATGCAGAGTTAAACCACAACAGAGAGAAATGGCATGTGCCCAGGAGGAGGCAAGGCAGCCTCAGAGGCCAGTAGGTCAATGTTACACTTTGTCTCCGCCTGTCTGTGCTAGGGGACATGGGGAGATACCGGACAGGCTCCTCTCCTCCATGGAGGGAGCACAGTTTCTGTTCACTGCACTGTGTCCTAGGAAGGCTTGCTACAGCAGGGTTACTTAAATTTTCTACCTCAGCAGGGTCCCTTGCAGGCCTTCCAGCTCAAGCTGGTTGCTCCAGATCCTGGCAAAGCTGCTGATCCTGTCCATCAGTTTTCCATAAAAGCAGCAGGAAAAGCATGCTGCTGGTCTGAGAAATAATCAGCTTCTTTTTGTTGCCTTTGTCAGTTACAGGAAAGACCTCCTACTGCTGACTGTTCCCCGTGAGCGTGTGTTGTCGTTGCACTGTTCTTGCTATTTCCTGCATCTGTTTCTTTTGCATCTCATATGCTTTAGTGCTGAATTCCTGAGCTCCAAGCTGGCAGCCTGCTCTTTGGCCCTCAGCTTCCCTGTCCATCGACATCACATCTGACACCTGCCTCTTTCTTCCTGACTGCTGTGACACCAGACCCTGAGCCTGATGAGGTCTCCTAATCAGAGATCACCTTGCTGTTACCCACCTCTATGAATAAAAGATAGTCCCCAGCATCATCCAAGAGAGCAAAGGAAAGCAAAGGACCATGACTAGGCTCGTTCTTGGAGGCTGCCATAACACTGGGGACACATTAGCAGTACAGAAGTCTGGTTATCTGAGGGCATGAGGTTACTGTGAAAGAGCTGGAGACACTCAGGAGTGAAGTGGTGTGATGGAAACATGCCCTGCACTTTCAGGCCTGAAAACAAGAGCAGAGGAGTAGTGAAGAGAAAGTGCTTCTCTGTGACTCTGTTTAAAAGCAGGGTGGCAGAAGGAAAGAGGAACCTTGCTCTTTTCTCACTGACCAGCCAAGAACATGGGTGAAAGGACTGTGCAGGAGAGAGATGAGGTGGCTGAGTCCTGCTCTCCTACTCAGACCCATTGGCATCTCACGCTTTTGCTGAATGAAAAGATGTGGGAAAGGGTCTGACAAATTCAGTAAACTACCCAGTAAGTAACAGGGAGATATAGTTTCCCATAGATCACAGTGTTAAGTGGTAGGGACCTACAGGAATCTACAATGAGACCTTGGGCAGACAAGCAATTCCTAACACAAATCTGTTACTTCCCTGCCCTCCTGCTCCTGCCTCCCCCCCCCCCCCCCCCCCCCCCCCCCCCCCCCCCCCCATTCCTTAGTAAGCAGTTTAACAGACATGAATTAATCCACGATTTCCCTCAGGGATAGTCAGCAACCCTGGGAGAGAGCTCTGCTCAGTATTTCAGGGCTATTTTCAGTAGTGGAAAGAGCAAACATAGCCATGAATGAAGGAGTGGGGAATTGATAGAAAGCATTCTCCTCCCACTAGAACAAGGGATGGGTTCTCAGCAGGGATGTCCCTTCCTGGAGTAAGAAGATGCTCCCAATTTCCCGTGGTTTTCCATATGGTTAGGTTAGGTTTCTGTCAAGTCAGCAAACTGCCTGCGTTCCTGTAAAGCCATATTTGCTGGGATTGATGTGAGGGAAGCAGATGGCAGAGTCGTGGGTGACTGGCCTGCCGGTGTGCTGGACTGAGTGTAATTAGTGGCTGCCTTCCTAGGAAGAAGTACAGCACTGAGGTAGGCAGTCACATCACACACACTGACTCTGTTCAATGCTTCCAGCAGGATCTGAGATAAGGAGCTAATAGACTATGTGTAGAGTGAATATTTTGTTCAGGTTTAC